TACTAAAATATGCCACGATCGTATTTGAAGAACCAGTAGAGCTAGAACTCTTTAATTTGGAATGAGGATTACTGATAGAGTGTACGATAGATGGATTTTTGGGAAATTCGCAGTGTACGAAAAATTCCTAAAATGTGCTAAATTTGGTACCATTTCGTATCGAGGCTAAAAACTTAAACTTGAAACTTGGAATGGGAATCAAGGTTGAGGATTGGAATATGGAGGACGTTTTCGAAATTTGTAGTTATAGGTGAACCGATATAGCTCAAAAACTGAAATTTGAATCATTGTATTGTAGGACTGGGGTTTGATGGTAGTTTTGGCAATATACTAAATAGTACTAAATTTGGAATAATTTAGGTTTTGGTGACTAACAGAGCTGTTATCTTGAAATTTGGAAATTACATTACTGTCGGAGTGTAGGATTGGGATATGGAGGTAATTTTGGAAATTTGTACTTATGTGCACTAAAATGTACTAAATATGGTAAAAGTTGTACTTGAGTGAACCAATAAAGCTGGAATGGTGAAATTTGGAATTGGGGTTACTGTACGAGACTATGGATTGGGATATGTAGGAAGCCTTGGAAATTTGTACTTATAAGTTCTAAATTGTACTAAATTTGGTACAATATGTATATGGGCGATAGGGATGGAATCCTGAAATTTGCAATTGGAATTACTGTGAGAGTTTAGGATTGGTATATGTGGGTAGCTTTGGTAAATCGTACTTATGTGGTACTAAATGGTACTAAATTTAGTACAATTTAAATTTGGTTGAACTGACTTTGGTTGGCTGGAATCCAGAAACTGGGAAATATGATTTCTATTGAATTGTATATGTAGGTTTTTATGGACATTACTTATGTGTACTAAATGGTACAATGGTATCTGTGTTTGAGATTTGGCGGTCATGGTACGAAACACATTAAATGGTACTAAATTTGGTATCTGGAATTGAAATATGAAAGTGGTTTAGGAAATGTGTACTATAATTGTACGAAAAGTACTAATTGGTACTAAATTCAGTATTGAGTGAAGGGATAGAGATGAAAATCTGAAATTTGATATAGAGGTCTCTGTTGGTATATGTGGTGAAAAATAGAGGTAGTTTGGGAACCGTGTACCATGATTTTTCGAAAAGAACTAAAATGTACTGAATTGGGTATTGGTTGAAGGAATAAAGCTGGAATCCCAAAATTTGGTATTGAGGTTTCCATTGATATCTGGGATTGAGATATGAATTCGTTTGGTGCTAAATAGTACTAAATTGGGTATTGGGGGAAGGGATAGAGATGAAATTTTAGTATGGAGAAATAGTTTTGGATAGAAACATTAGATGAAGAAGAAGGCATTGGATGAAGGAATTAAGCTATAATTTGATGTAGATGTTACTGTTGGTATCTGTGGTTAAGATATGGAGGTGGTTTTCGAAATGTATACTAAAAAAATGATATTGAGGTTTCTATTGGTATGTGGCATTGATATATGGAGGTGATTTTGGGAAACGGAAAAATAATACTATTATACGAGAAGTACTAAATGGTACCAAATTTGGTATTGGGAGAACGCGGAGAGCTGAAATTTGGGAAATTGTTTTACTAATATCCTCCTCGGTCAATTTCAAATTGAAAGATTTTGAAGACTTTTTGGTATAAGAGAAAAATATTGTTCTATTATTCTTTCTGAAAAAGGAAAAACTTGAATAATATCTACATAAAATATTGAAATTCCACAATTTAGTACGATTTGATTAAAAAATAGTGTCAAACTGGACAAATTGAACATTTTGAGTACTAAAAAGGCCTAACACCAACTGTTGGAATGAATCTTAAATTTTAAGATGGGATTTTCGCTGAAGAAGTTGTTGGTCCTTGCTAGTGATCACATATTGAGGCTATATATCGGTCTCAATACGACAGGTACTAGTTATAACCCTCATGCCCTCGTGGCACTCTTCCACATTTTATAAAATTTCGTATTTTAATTTTTTATAACGTTTTTTTATAAATTTTGAAATCCAAACGTAACGTTATGATAATTTATAATTTGGTCTCTTAAGGTAACGTTATGTTGCCAGTACGATTTTCTAAAAAAATCAAAAACAGGAAACTTCAAAATATACGGTGTTGACCATAAATCTCTAATTGTTCTCAAAAGTTTGAATTGGAAAAAACTTTCCTCTGACGTCTCATTCCGTTATGCCTTCAATAAATACTTTATTATTACAATTTATAATTGGCTCTATAATTTTGTTCAATTTTCTATCGGCAGCAATCATTTGATTCTTCCATTATGCAAAAAGCAGCTTGAAGAATAAAAAAGCAAAAAATTATATATAAAAAACTTTTACTCCACCATCACAATTAAGTCCATGGTGTTGAGCTAAAAGTTTAATTTGTGGTCACGGCAAGCTTACACAAAAAAAAAAAAATCCATTGTCCGTTCATCACGCTAAATTTCAATAAAGTTTGTTGTGACACTTTTTGCTCTTCAACTTCAATTTAGTACTTAAAAGTTTCACTTCAGTTTGCCGTCGAGTCGTTAATGTATTGTGGAGTTTATTGCAATTGGAAATACTCTAGTCAATGTTGAAATAAGTTAATTTGACTTTAATGCAGGGGGAGAAATTTGTATAATAGACAAGGCTGAGAAATCAATATTATGGGGAATAGAAGCTACAATAAATCACTATATTTAATACTGATCAGAAAAAAAAATGTATTTAAATTCAGACAATCTTAACCAAGAAAAGAAAATTTTAATAATTTAAATCAATGTTGGTCCACCTGTGTCGACTCATTTCCAATTTCTTTTTGGTCAATTGATGTTGATACAATCCAGTTAATAAGTATCGGTCTATTTTCAAATATATTTATTTATATTCTGTATTTAATTGCATATTTTTAATTGAAGTAAGCCTTTGGTAATGCGACTATAAAAATTTAACTTAAATCGACCATGTTTTTTTTTGTATGGGGTTATTTTCTATTTCTATTTACCGATTTATCAGAAGACAAAACTGTATGTGACCTACACTCTAAACTTGACTTTGTTAACATATTATGTGCAGAATCCTAGATCATAGCCAACTTCGTTCAAATATGTCCAAGAAAACTTAATCAGCTCAGTCGGTTTGCGGACATATGTATTTTCATAGCCTTCTGGTGGAATATATCGAAAATTTCTATGGAATATAAATAAAATTTTCAATTTTAGAAACAAACAAGTAAGCAAAGGCTGTAGCCGTGCGGGGCCGACCATGTGATACCCTCGCTTTTGAAATTATGTCACGGAACACTGCCCAGATATTACCCATAGCATTTTGTCCAGGGTCATTTGCCCAATATTTACGCACTCCGCTGTGCTGTTAGTTGTTGTGGCTAAATATAATCTAATGGTCATCCAAAATGCTAGAACTATTCCCTGGCCTTAACTCTCTTCTCAGGCGAAATTCTGTGTCGATTTGTTTCAATTGTTTTCTGTTTTTGGGTCATTTGAACCCCTAAATAATTTGCAATCATCTCCAAAACAAAAGGACCCTCTGTATCTCTAAATTTAGACTGATTTCTATCATTTTCTTGTCGACGATATTTGGCAATATTCGTCAACGAAATCAGCTTAAAAAAGTCAGAAGTTCGCTTTTGGTTATTATTATTATTTATTTTATTATTTTAAATCGCATGCGATAAAAAATATGAAAAAATAAAAAGAATGTCAAAAAATACTAGAAAATCTATATTAACACAATTATTGGCATATTTTTATGCGATTTTTTTAGATTTTATTATTTTATGAAAAGAGGACATTCTGAATTGACAATATTTGTCAAAATCAATCCAGCCATTCTTGGAATATGAGCATTCTTGCTAACATCCTCTTCCTTTGTAAATACACATTGTATATATTTCGCTATATATATCCGATATATTTACTATCGGCATCTGTACTGGTCAGAATTGACCTGTTCGTCTATTTGTGATATTTGTGATTATGCGATCATCTCCAAAAGCACTAGGCTTCTATTCTGTCCCTAGGAAGGAAGATCCTTATATACTTTCCTATATGGGAAACCAATAGTTCGAGGTGTCACATAATTGTTGGGCCAATCAAACTTATAATACCCCCAACACATAGTGTTGTAGAACAGAGAAAAATTTGTTGAAAGTTTACATTTTAACCTGTCTACCATTAATAACCTTTTTCCGATTTAGCATAAATATACTACATAAATATACAAAAATTGGTTATTTACTTTCTAAAAAAAATACTCAGAATAGCCCTGCCCTAGATTTAACGAATACCCCATTCGGGAGGTGTCCCTCGCTTTAGCCATACAGACAGATGGACATGGCTAGATCTACCCCAAATGCCCTAAAATGAGTTTCGGGGAAACTATTATTCCGAAGGAACATAATCATACTCCCGAGAATATTAAAAATCAATTCCTAAAATCTAAAGGTTCGGTAAGAATTTAACCAGAGCGAGGTCCTATGATTTTGAAGATATAATATGGTTAACATACTGCTCATGGCTGTTATGTAAATGAAAATGTCGACAAGGGATATGTTTACATTATAGGTCCATAACCAGCAATTTCAATACGTTCCAAAGAAAAAAAATCAAACTTAATATACCTTTCATCATATGATGGAGAAAATTAAAAAAAATTGAAGAATATGTTTTAAATGTGTTCAAATATGAATGCATACACTGAACCGCTGACAATATAACACCGTTCAATTAAAACGAATATAAACTTCCAAGGTGCCCCCAAAAAAGTAAGGCTTTCTCCGCGTATGCCTCAATTTTTTTTGGAAAACAGTTTTTAAATAAATAAAGGTCCTCCCACATTATTTTCAAATAAGTGAATTAATTCCGGCTCCCATCTGGTCACAACAAAGAGGTTGTATGGTATATACATATATAATTACATACACTCACACACACATCCAAAAATAGGTACATGTCGATGTTTGTATTTTTTTATTCATCACTTACCGTGTTTCAATAATGAAATGCGTCACGGGAGCATTTCGTGGATGCTGTGAATGGGCCCACGATAAGTTAACCGAACGTGATGTAAAACTTATCAGCAACGGTCGTTCGGGAGGATCTGGTACATCTGGTTAGGGTTTGCGTACACATCCAGTAGTTGTCCATTAGGGTGGGAAAAAAAGGGAGAAATAAAGAAAAAAACGACAATAACGGTTAAATGCTGCTACGAATACATAAAAATGTTGCTGCCATGTTGGGTTTGACCGTTTTTCTTTATTGTCCTTCATAAAGTAACCGGCAATGGCAGCAGCAACAACAGCAGAGGTAGTAACAACATGCCTCATGGCACCGTAAAAGGTACACTTGGCGAGTCATTGCCATTGTTGTGTCGCATTGTGGATTTGAACGGGGTCACCCAACATGATGGCCAGCTGCCCTGTTGCATATATGACAATACCCTACCCGTTACCTTCCTTACCCCTCCCTTCCCCTTTGGCATAAAACTTACCTTGCACCAGTAAATCAACAATTGCTTCTGGTATATGCCGGTCATTTACCAGACAAATATATTCAGCCGTATCCACAGCTAAGGCCGGGGCAAAATGTAGTGCAAAATTCTCCGACAACAGTTGAATCTGAAAGTAACACAAGAAAGAAGACATAAAAGCATGAGAAAATGTAAAAATAAAAGAAGGAAAGGAAGGAGAGCAAAAATGGTTACATGAAATCTTACAATTGTGCAGGGAAAGGTGAAACTGAGTTATTAATACCCCGAGTAAATGGAGTCATGTACGGCATAAAAGTGTTTACAATGCCCAGCATGGCTTTAGGTAACTTAACGGTAAATTATATAAATTGGAAGTAAATTGAGACATTAAAAGCTGGCAACAATTCTTGGAACAGGCATTTAAATTAAAGAAACGAGCCATCTTAGCCAGTTTGTTATAAATATGTTAAGCAAGATATTTTATTGCAGCCGTAGAGTAATTAAGAAATGTTTATTAACATTAAGGAGATTTTGTTGTTAATAGGAGAGCGGAATGTTGGATTCTCTGTTTTGATCTGAGTTATTGGTGGGTGTAAGTGAATAAACATATTTAAAAAAGCCCAGGCCTAAATGGAATATACGTTTAGAAGGAAGATTAACTTAGATTTGAGCACTTTTTTTAATATTCATAACAATGAATAATATATGAGGTCGAATAAAGTTAAAAAAATAATGACACTGAAAACTGTATTACAAATAAACGGAATAAATAATTTTTATTAAATCTTTCAGTGAAAAAATAAAAAATATTTTTATTAAAAAATAAAATAAAAAAATAAGTAAAATAGTATCAGTCGGTATTGCCGACAGATATATACCCCCAGTCTTGAGTTATGATTATTGAAATTGTTGACCCTTTATGGGGGAGGTTAAAATACTACAACGTGCCTTCTACTTCCTACACTTTAAAAAAGATACGTGTGAGATGAAAAAACTGCAACCAACCTTTGACTGTCTTCATTTCTAATCCACTCGTCCGACAGCTGTTAAAATTATTCCACTGACAGCTCATTATATTGTTTATAAGCGTACAAAAGCATTTTGGTGAGAATTTTCAAGAAGAAAAGTTATTCGTGATGGAATTCAAGCGTGATAGTGTGATTTCTTTATATTTGGCTGGAAAACCAAAAGTGGCTATCGTTAGCATTTAAATGTGAATAAATTTCTTGGGTCTCGTACCATAACTCGTTACCGTGATACTGGTAGCGTAGCCCGGCGTCAAGGAAGTGGACGGAAGAAAACAGCAACATCAGCAGAAATGGTTCGAAAAGTAAAAAATCCGCGTCGCAGTGGCCGAAAAATGGCTCGTGAGCTGAACATATCGCAATATTCCATTCGGCAAATATTGAAAAATGAGCTCGGGGTAAAGCCATTGAAATTTTAAAAGTGCAAGAACTTACACCGCAGCTGAAAGAAAATAGACTCAAAAGAGCTAAAGAGTTGCTTCGCTTGGCCGAAAGTGGTCAACTGCCGAATTTGGTATTCTCCGATGAGACAACATTCGTTGTCCAGCAGTTTGTAAACAAGCAAAATGATCGTGTTTACTTGCCAAAGAGGTCAGCTGAAAATGTGCACCTTCGGTTGGCAACCAGAACTCAAGCGCCGGCCATGGTGATGGTGTGATCCACCATAACAGCCGATGGTCGCTCTCCGCTCATATTAATCGACCGTGGCATCAAAATAAATGCGGAATATTATCGCGAAAATATTCTGGAGGTTATATTAAAGTCTTGGGCACGCAAATATTTTGGCCGCAGACTTTGACATTCCTGTTGGTTAGCACGCGCCACCCTAGAATGATTACGGATACCAATCCGTTGGACTATTGTGTCTGGAGTATTTTGGAAAGCAAGGTTAGCACTAAAAAATACTAAAGTGACGATCACCTCAAGCAAGCGCTTCGCCGGGAAAGAGCCAAAATACCGCAGAGCAACATTTGGGCAGCTCGTGACGGTTTCATTGGCCATTTGAAGGTCATAATTCGTCCAAAGGTGACCAAGTCGAACAAATCTAAACTTATTCTAAAATTGGATGCTATTTCCGACTTTTTTGCTCCCATTCAATAAAATGTAAAAATTATGGCGTTTGACTTTGTTGCAGCTTTTTTTTTTGTATGTGATAATTTTCGAAAAATGTTGAAATGTGCCTGAGTAGACGGAGATATTAAACTTCATCTGATATTGATAAAAATATCGGAATGTGCAAAATTTAAAGAAAATCGAACATTAATTTCCAATTTTATGCGGCAGGGTGCCAGAAGGGCTAACCCTTATATCCGTTCATCATTTTAGATTTTGTGTTAATAAAAATATTCGGATGTGTGAAATTTTAGGGGGATCGGGTCCATTTTCACAACAGATCTTGTGTTAATAGAAATACTGATATGTGTGAGATTTGAGGTGACTCGGGTGCTTATTTCGCTTTTTTGATCGTTTCATGAAAATGTTGACCGTTTGTGGGGGAGGTACCAGAAGGAGTGATCCGATACATTCCATCTTCATGCCAGATCTTTTATTGGTGGAAATATTGGGATGTGCCATTTGGACTCTTATTTCACCTTTTATAATTATTCAAAATTTGTATTCTGTATGGGAGGAGGGGGCATATTGGGATTTGAAATTATTTTCTTTGAAAGTGTTGATGTTTTGCGGGGAGATACCAGAGGAGTAGACCAATGTTGCTTATCTCCGAATTCAATTTAAATTTGATAATAATATTACGATGTACTAAGGTTAGATCAAATCTGATACTCCCTTCGAGAGTGATCGAGCGCATCAGCTAGACAGACAGAGGGACGGACAAAAAAGGGTATAATAACTCAAGAACCAGGTTTAGAGTATCTGGATGACTTGGATATGAGCTGACTGGAGCTGTAGTAAAACCGAGTCAAATTAATGATGCCACCAATAGCGATGATACTTGCGACATTCCAATAGCCCGATTTTTGGCAAGGGTATTTTATACATTCAGTCCACGCTTTTCAAGGATGTCGAACGTCATATTCTTCCCCGCAGTTTGAACGTTTGGTTACCCACTATATTTCTGTCAGACATGCGGGGAATACCAAAGAAATGGGAGAAGATTCGTAGAGAGAAACAGTGAGTTTCCCAAGGTAGGATATATTTTTTAAGGCGCAGTGTAACGTGACTGCACACCCTAACAATAGCAAAAACAATAGCATCCGTCACCTACTAAACCACACTAACCTCTAACAACAATAACAAAACACAGCCAACCTTACCAACATATAGCAACGCAATAGACCCACAAACTGCTCAACCACCATGAGCAGTGCTTATACTGCTTATCAAGAAATAGCCGCTCATTTGCCATCATCATCATAACAACACACGAGAAATAATTTTCATTCATGGGTTGACATATATTGTTTTCGATTCGGTTAACGAGGCAAGTCCCCGTTAAGGGGGCTCACATAAATGGTACGTGGAAATTATTAACTGCCTCCGACTAATAGGAACTATTCTTTTTTGCTACCTCTAATAACTTGAGTGCCCGGTAATACACTGATGTCTCAACTGGAGCTTGATGTCCCAACCGAAATCTAGAGAAGTAACGTACAGATATCCGTAGACCGTAACATAGCCCGACTAACTAACCTCCGAGCACCGATACGAGTTCGCGATCATATATTTCTCATACATAACCTGAACACCTGTGGGCCGAACGCTCTTTAACAGAGTTTCCGATTATAACCGGAACCGCAGCACGGTCTACGACCCAAATAACACAATCGACTACATCCCGGTGTCTATGTTTTTTCTATATCCCTCTGAACGGAATTATTTAATATTTTAGATTTACAAATCGTAATCCGTCATGTAACGAACGTAAATTGAAATATTTCCACGTCTTTCCACGTATTTTCCAACCGATTTGACTTTCATTTTCCGTTTCCCTTACCTCATGACCGAAGATAACGTTTCTATTTGTTTCTTTTTAATTTAGAATTCCGCTTCTGTCATTATCACTTCGTAAGAAAACTGTCAAAAAATGAAAGAAACTATCAATTTAGGTTTGGTTTTCTTTGTCGTCCTGAATCTGTACTGTATTTTCAGATATTCGCTATTTTTTGGGTCACACTTTTCACAGGAAATTTTTCAAATTTGGAATTTCAAATTCCTAATGGGTACTATATCCTATTGCACAAAATTGTTCTAACCGGTTTACGTCTTCGTGTAGCCCCAATATAAAGGTGCCTTCCTATATTCGGTGTTTGGATGATTTTAGCGAAATTATCCTCCGGAAGTCTTTAAATTTCGTATTTCAATATCGTAATGCCCTGTGACAAAAATTGCATATACAGCTCCAATATAAATGTTACTCCATATTTTCAGTATTTTTATGATTTTAACAGAATTTTTTAACTGAATTTTTTTGACAATTTGCAAATTCCTTCCAAATGACAAATTATATTTAAATTAGGCCCTGCCGAACTTACTGTTTTCTCACTTGTTACGTAAAAAAACTTATTTAGCCCTTAAGCTCAACCAGGGTAGTTTAAGTGGGAATCGGTCTTGTATTGAAAGTTATCAACTTTTATTCAATGACCTTATCGGTATCTTGGTTACTTCATTAAAATTACGGTCTACACGATTTGCTGTTTAAGAATGTCGTTCTTTGGTACAAAAAATGATTTTGATTTTTATGAATTTATGATTTTTTTGCTCAAATATTTTCCCGCCGCACTTCACTTTCTCAATTGGTGAACAAGAGATATCTCTATTTTAATTTGCCAAAATATTTTTAAATTTAATTACCCATATCTTTTATTGCCTACAAATTTAGAAACCTACAGAAAATAAAAAGATCCCTTTTCAACTACCACATCATACATGTCTGCATATTTTATCGTAATGCATGCATTAATTAGATATTTGTTTTTTACTATTTGCCAACTGCAAAGTTACGGTAAATAATAAAACTTCCAATTTTAAATAAATCTAGACAAACTATGCGTGAGATTTTTCCAAAGAAATTAGTTTGTTTATGGAGAGAGAGAGAGAGAGACACAGAAGGAGAAAGAGCTGAAGAAAAAAGACTCAACCAGCAAAAACAATTCATGTAAAA